GAGAGAAGTGAGAAAGCAAGCCACCAGCTCTAGGACTCGAACAGTGGCCAGCTCTGTGGGAGTCCGGCGCCCCTATCCACCAGGTCACCTGCCAGTCCCACCCGATGTGTTTTAAGCCACTGGGTCCAGGACTTGAACTGTGGTCGACTGCATGGGAGACCTGCAACGTAACCATTACACCATCTGTTGGTCCCCCCAATTCTTCCAGGAGAGGTAGAGCCAGCACCTCCAGCGGGGCCATCCCCAGCAGAGTCTCCATGCTGCAATCCACCCTCAGCCAGCCCCAACTCCAGTAGTGCAAGCCCAGTGCACTCAAGGTCTCCTGGGTCAATAACCAGGTCCCTTCCCACGTGGGTCCCCTGGCAGTGTGACACTGTCCAGGCCCCCTTCCACTCTCTTCATAGCACAGCTGGAGGCAGGTCCAGGTTTTGTGGTGCCTGGAAGGGCTTTTCATTAGGGAGACTCACTTCAGGACAAACGTGGGAGTCACAGATCAAAACAAGCAGAGCCTTCCAAGGGACCTGTGCAAACGCTTAGCCCCTCGGCCTCATGGCGGGCCCACTGGACCCAGCCTGCCTGTCAGTAGCAATTATCAGCAAATAACAGCGAAGTCGAGAAGGCTCTCCCGTGGACAGCCAAGCCTGACTGTTTGCTGCCCCGTGTCCCTGCGCACCTGCCCATCCCGCACCTGCCCTCTGACCCCCATCCCGGCTGTCCCACGCGTCCCAGAGGAAGCCGGACACCGCCATGCCCCCACTGTGGCTCCGTTTGCTGATGTGAAATCCAGATGTGAGAAGTCATTTATGTGCAGACAGTGCCCCCGCTGAGCCCCCAGTTCCTGACCACGGGGGAACAGACGCATTTCCCTGGGCAATTAAACCACAAGGACATCCTAAGGACACTGCAGGTGTCCAGGCCATAGGAACGTGCCCATGGGGCCACCCCTGCCCGCAGGCACCCCAGTAGCTACCAAGTCGGGTGGCCGACCCTGGCTGGGCGTGACTCCTCCCCTCTTCTAGCAGGTTCCTTCACACTCTTAGCACTGGGTCAGAGGCTCCTTCTCAGACTGGACACCAGGTGGCTTTCATTCTCCCTCCCACCCGCTGTCACCTGCACCCCCACCACACACGTAAGGATGTTGTCTGTAGGAAATTCCTGCTCATTTGTATTTAAGATAAGAAAGGGGGACAGCAGAATAGCTCCTAAGGTCCTGTCCTGCGGGATACAGTGGAAACGGGGCGCTCTGATGTCAGCCCCCCAATTCTTTTATAATTGCCTACTCTATTTTTATAAACATTTGGTCCTGGATAAACCATCCCTAAGACCATAACAAAAACTGGAGAAGAGGACCAGCAGATGGCATAGCGGTTATGGACTCCCACATGGAAGACCACGGTTTGAATCGTGGACCCAGTGGGTATGTGTACATGCATGCCCAAGAGCCTGGGAAGAGAATGGAGGGTTTGCAGCATGGCCAGTCCCCTGGGAGGTGCTTTCTCACTGTCCCACCCAACTGTCTCTCTCCAGCAAGTGCACCTGCCCTTTAAAAAAAAAAAGGGACCAGAAGTTAGCATAATGGCTATGTTGCTGAACTCCCATGTAGTGACGCAATTTGAGTGCCGGACTCAGTGGCTTAAGCTCACGCCGGGAGTGTGTGCGTGCGTGCCCAAGATCCTGAGAGGAGAATGGAGGAGAAGGGATTGCGGCATGGCCATGCCCCCTGGGGGCTGATTTCTCGCTTTCTCTCTCTCCGTCTCTGTCTTTCTGGCAAGTGCACGTGTCCTATAGCAAAAACCTCTAAAAAAATAAATTTAAAAAAAAAAAGGGAGACGGGAACCAGCAGTTAGCGTAATGGCTATGTCGCTGGACTCCCACATAGCCGACCGTGGTTCGCGTCCTGGACCCGGTGGCTTAAAACTCATGCCGGGCGTGTGTGCGTGCGTGTCCAAGATCCCGAGAGGAGAATGGAGGAGAAGGGATTGCAGTGTGGCCATCCCCCCTGGGGGTGATTTCTCGCTTTGTCTCTATCTGGCGAGCGCACGCGCCCTATAGCGAAAAAACCTCTCAAAAAAAAAAAGGGAGAGAAAAAAACCCAAAAACTAGAGAAGGGGGCCAGCAGCAGGTGGTATAGTGGTTAACGTGCTGGAGTAAGACATGGTCAACCATGGTTCGAGTCCTGGGCCTGGCAGTTTAAAACACACTGACCACATGTGCCTGCATGCCCAAAATGAGAATGAAGAAGGGATTATGGCATGGCCATCATGGGGGAGTTACTTCTCACTTTCTGTCTCCCTGTCTCTTTGGCAAGCACATGCACCCTACAGCAAAAATCTCTTCTAAAAAAAAAAAAAAAAAAAGCAAAGCAAAATAAATAGAGGCCCAGCCTATAGCTTGGTGACTAAAGTGCCTGGGCCCCATAGGGCCGACTACACAGTTCCAGTCCTATATCAGACATTTTGAAAACTGCTATCAAGGGGCCGGCAGGTGGTGTAGAGGTGGTTGGGGCGCTGGACTCCCATATGGCTGACTGCCACCCACGTCCTGGACCTGGCAGCTTGCTTTCTCATTTTCTCTGGTCAAAATAAAAATAATAAAATTAAATAATTATTTTTTTTAAAAGGGGAGGGCAGCATCACTGGACTCCCACATAGTTGACTAGTTTGAGTCCCGGACCTGGCAGCTTAAAACTCACCAAGCATGTGTGTGCGTGCCCCAAACTCAGAATGGAGAAGACGGGGGACATGGAGTGGCCATCCCCCCGGGGGGTGATTTCCTCCCACTGTTGAGTGTACATGCCCTATAGTAAAAACTTAAAAAAAAAAAAAAATGAAGTCAACAAGGTTTTTAGGCAGTATTAATTAAAAACGAGAGAGCTACCAATAAGCAAATGGCAAACAGCCTGGCAGGCAAGCGGGCCAAAGGTTCAAGCCAGCACAGCCGAGTGCGAATGGCCGGCACGGAAGAGCTGCCCACACGGGCACCATAACGCGGACACGGGCTCACGCAGCAGCAAGCTAGAGGACAGGTGGGCGTCTGTGCTACTGGGGAGTGAGGGCCGCACAGCCGCGGGGAGAACTGGGCCCGAGCCACCAGTGGCCTGCCACAGCTGCGCCCACCTTTAAGCCAACAGCCAACTCCGGTGTGTGTTCTAGAAACAGGAGGGAAGGCACAGGACGGCCGTCGGTCAGCTCCATCAGGAGCGACCCAGGCCTGGGATTTACACTGACACTCACGTGTGGGAACACTACGCAGCTGGAGACCAGCGCCCGGGCAGACAGCCTCCATGACTCCACAAGCAAACCACAGAACCACGTAGTGATTCCGGCTGAGAAACACGAGCCCCAGCAACCTACCTTCACGGGCAACCACACGGACCACGGCAATGACAGGCCCTTCTGTAGAGGGGAGGACGTAGAGGGCCAGGCCGCAGGCGTGGTTTAGTCCTGGCTCACAGCGACAACAGTCCTCCACGCATCTCAGAATAACGGCTTTGTGAACTTCCCAGTGGTGGCACAGCAGCGAGGATGACCCACAGGGGAGCCGGGTTTGTGTCTGGAGACCTGCACGTGCAGGGCGAGCCAAGGACTGCGGGGTCAGAGCCCTGTTACAGGTGCGTGTCTGCCTCTCACTCATGGAATAAACTTTAAAGAAAATAAAAAGCTTTTGAAAGTAAGCCTGAGGGGGACCAGCAGTTGGCATAATGGCTGTCGCTGGATTCTCATGTAGTTGACCGCAGTTCAAGTCCTGGACCTGGTGGCCAGGTGCATGTGTGTGTTCCCCAAGATCCCAAGAGGAGAATGGAGAAGGGATTGCAGTGTGGCCATCCCCCCGGGGGGTGATCTCTCACTTTCTCTTTCTGGTGAGCACATGCACCCTCTAGCAAAAACCTCTCAAAAAAAGGTGCAAGGGAAGAAACACTAATAGACAAGAGGTTGAAAGACACACATGTACATAGCACACCATGATGGGGATTTTACATAAAATGTGAGACTGACTGACTTGAACATTCAAAAATAAAAAAAAAATAGGTCTGAGAACCAGGGTCTTCACCTTTAAAAGGAAGGAGGAGCCTCCCGGGCAGGCTGCCAGGAGCGCAGTGAGTGCACCCCACGAGGCCTCGGCGGGCAGTGGGGCTCCAGCCCAGCAGTGACTCTGCTGCTGCCGGGCAGGCTGAGGCCTGCAGGAGGCCCCGGCTTGGTTTCTGACCTGCCCTAAACACCAGGCCCAGTGGCATGTGCTGACATCGGCAGAAGGTGGACACGGGACCACAGATGGAGGCCCCCTAAGATGCACATGGCGCACACCCATTTTCTCAGGACACTGAGGATGGCGACGACCGTCTGAAGAACCGAGAAACAGCAGATGCTCAGGCGCCCGCTGCTGCTGCTCCCTCTGCCAGTGAGTGTGAGGGCCATCAGGACCTGCTCTCGGGCCCGGAGGCCATTCTCCCAGACGGCGGCCCTGCCTGCCTCACCCTCCCCTCCAGCCCCGCCAGACCACCAGCGCCCGTCCTGTCTGTGTAGGATCCACCACGCCCTGTGGGGCTGTGGCCTTGCACCGTGGGCAGGACTGGCCGGCTGCCGGCCCTCTCCAGGCCCCGGCAGAGACGAGGTCCTGGTGCCAACATCCCTGTGCGCCAGGAGGGAATGCGGTGGGGGAGTAGAGGACGCCTCCCCCCAGGAGCTGCCGGGAGGAGAGAGGGAAGTCACAAGCGTTCTGAGCTGGTCAGAAGGTGCTTTATTAGTGGGAGGAGGCTCCAGCATCCAGCAGCGGCTACAACCTGGGGACAGAGAGAGGGGGCTGAGGGCCACCAAGGGGCCCTGCGTCCTTGCCATCCGACACTCCCTGCTGGCCTCATTTCCCTCTGGGGACCAGCCCTCCTCCACTCTGGGCCCCGGTGCCTCTGGTGGGCTGGCCAGCCAGTGGTTTGGGAAGGGCCCTGAGTCAGTGGGTCCTGAGGGAGGGAGGCGGCCCTCTTCTGCAGCCACGGGGGCAGCCACTCACTGGACCTCACGGAACGACCGCTTCTCCACCAGCTTCACTTTGTACTTGCGCTTGAACCTGGGGGACAAGGGTGTGGTCAGCGACCAGTGCCACTTTCGTGGGACGGTCCCAGCGCCCCGCCCTCCACGGCGCCAGCCCTCACTTGGCTCTCTCCCGGGGCTCGATCATGTTCCTCCTCTGGAAGCTCTTGAACCGGTCACGGAGGATGTTGCCCTCGGGCTGCGGACATGGGGGGGGGGCTTCAGCGGCCTGGCAGGAGCGAGAACTAGCCTGCTCCACAGGCACAGGGGGGCTTGCCCTCTGCAGTCCCCCCAGCGCTGCCTCGTGAGCACCAGGTGCTTGGCCTGGCAGGAGCTCGAGGGGCTGCCATGGGGTGGCAGGCACAGAACCACGGAGGTCTCTGAGCTGGCTCTGAGCTATCGGCAGCAAGGAGGCTGAGGAAGAAGTGGAGGAGGCTCAAGGCAGAGGGAGGCGCTTAGAGTCCAGAAATGATGTGCGTCCAGCTAGAGTCCCAATGCGGCCTGTGCTCACAGCCCGGGCACTGGGGAGCCTCAGCAGGTTCAGAGCAGGGAAAGGACGGGACCGCGGACCAGAGGCTGCAGTGGACTATTACCCAGCCCCTCACCCTGGGCACCCCACCTCAGGACCCCGTGCCCTCAGCCCCCGGGCACTGGCCCACCTGGCCCAGCCCGGGGGCAGCCATAGTGTCACCCACAGCCCCCTGGGGAGCATGGGGAGCAAGGATGGTCTCATCACTGGGCACGCCCCGCAGCACCCCGTGCCCAGTGGGCAGGTACCTTCAGGGTCCTGAGTGAACCGGACAGCTCTGAGCTGAGCTGCACGTCGATGTCGGGCGCCTGGTACCTGGAGGGCAGGGAAGGCCATTAGCCTGGCGGGGGACGGAACCCAGGGGAGAGGGGCTGAGGGACAGAGGATATCCGGTGGTCTTCCCGAGCAGACAGGAAGCTACCAGGATGTGGGATCTGGACCCCATCGTCCCCTGGGGCCCCCAGCCCAGGCCTCACTTGAGCCGCCCCAGCCTGCGGGGCTTGTCGGCTTCAGCCAGACGCCATGCCTGCCGCTGCCGCTGCCGCCGAGCCAGCTCCGCCAGCCGCTGGGCCACCTGCATCTTGATCCCACGCAGCCTGAAGAGCTCCTGGTGCTGCAGTCGGGCAGCCCGAAGCTTGGCCTGCTGGGCTCGCTGTGGAGATGGGGCAGGGAGGGACGCAGCGAGTGGGTACCACCCAGCCCTCAGGGCGAGGCCCCAAATGGAGCCGCAGGCAGGACCCTCCAGCTGCTGTGCTCTTTTTTTCTGGAGAGGTTTTTTTGCTATAGGGCGCATGTGCTCGCCAGACAGACAGAGACAGAGACAGAACGCAAGAAATCGCCCCCAGGGGGGATGGCCACGCCGCAATCCCTTCTCCTCCATTCTCCTCTCGGGAGCTTGGGCACGCACGCACGTGCGCCTGGCATGAGTTTTAAGCCACCAGGTCGGGGACACAAACCATGGTCGACTAGGTGGGAGTCCAGCGACATAGCCACTGCGCTAACTGCTGGCCCCCCACTGTGCTCCCTTCAGGGCAGCTTTTCCAGTCTGTCTCACTCTGAATGCCAGGCGGGGCATGCACACCGGAGAAAGAGAGGGAGAAAGCCCCTCTGTGGGCTGCGGTCACTCCACAATCCTTTACGGCTCCCCTTTTCAGAATTCGGGCGTGCCCGTGCCTGGGATGTTTCTCTAGCCACTGAGGCTGGGATCTGAACTGTGGTCGGCTAGTGGGACAGGCCATGGCCCGGCCCCCAGTAGCTGCTGTTTTTGGAACTGCCTCTGTTACCTGGCCTACAGGTCCAGCCCCCACTTCTGCTAGTGTTCCTTGCCTTCCCAAGCCCAGGTGTCCCCTGACACACGGCAGGTGCTAGGAAAGAGCCTGGCTGGTGAAGAGGCTGCGAGGACCTGGGATGGCAAAGAGCAGGCCGTGGTGTGAGGGCAGCAGGCAGGAGGCAGGCAGTGGGCAGCCTGGCTCGGGACTCACCAGCATGCGGGCGGCCTTCTCCCGCCGCCGCTGCTGCTCCGTCTTCCTCCCTGTGGCAGGCCGGCGGGAGGCGGGCTGGCGTGGGCAGGGCCTCGGCTCCTCCGGCCTCAGCCCCCTCATCCCGGCTCGGCCCCAGCTCTGGCTCCCCGTCATCGTCGGACTCCTCCAGCAGCCCCTCACACATTTCCCGGAACACTGACTCCTGGAAGGGGGAGCAGTGTTGGAGTGGAGGGTGCAGAGTGGCGGGGAGGGGGGAGGACATGGGGTGGCGTGGGACTCACCTGGGTGGCGGCCTGCTCCGCAGTGGGCAGGGCCAACTGCCGCTCCAGCTTCTCGGGCTCCCCCCTGCGCCGG